CCATGGGATCCAAATTTTAAACATGGGGAGATATAATTTACAGAAAACCGAGACGACATATTTGGTGGACAGTTTACACCGGCTCTGACCTGCCGGTGTAAGTTACGCATGTGATCGTCACAGCCTATGAAGAGCGTCTATTCTGCATAGATTACCCATGGTTCATTGCGAGTGGGAAATGGCTCTCGGAAACTCTAAAGTTTGTGTAACTGTTTGACCCAATGGTCTCATCGATATCACGCTACGCAAATCACTTAACGATAGGTTTAAAAGTCAAAGAAGAGTTACGTTTAAAAAACCATCATGTAACCAGGTATGTGCAACGTGAGCTATTTATACTGTTTACAGCCAGCACTTGCATGGCTGGTCCGAAGGTGGTACAAAACAAACAAACAAATCCTTTCACACAAAGCTCTTCAGTTCAGTTAATACCGCCAGATATTGACCAGCTTTTTTTTCTTAGGTCACACGATTAACAATTTCGTGCATTGAACGTTTTACCGCGTTTCTAACGATATAATGTGTGAACCCAGATGGTCAGACAAAGAGTGTAATAACTTCACCCGTGTTTTGTCAAGCAAATGTTGCTATAAAGATTTTAAAAAAATTCAGTTCACAATTCTTTCTCAGTTTTATTTAGTAATGATGTATTGAGGTTGATTTCCGCGTCACAGACAAGACAGTGCACAGTCAGGTTTCCCATGAGTCATTGCGGGTGTAAAATTACTACAAGTGACTGTCAACTGTACATTTTTATTTTTCATGATAGTATATGAGAAGTGTTTCAGTCTAGCATTAACAGCCAAAAACAGCATTGACGAAAAATTAACTGGTTTTTAGTTAATTTAGTCTGGAAATGTTTAAACCAGTTTTTAAAAATGTTCAGGCTAAGTAAGCAAACCTTTATAGCAGGACCTTGGTTTTAAGGTAGCAGTGCACTGTATCATTTTATAACCAAGGCTACAGCGGTTCACCTGACACACTTTGACAAACCTGACAAACTTTTGGTCTGATGATTCTGTTTGATCCACATAAAAGCAAACAAACAAACAAACAAAAAAACGGTATATAGATTTATACGTCAAAGAGGCGGTATTTTTAACAGGTCTGCGCCATTGTTCAAGATGGTTGGTCCGATGAAAGTGAGGAAAATTCCCAAGACTTACCCTGACTTTTGGTATTGACCAACTTTTTAGATTTGCTTATAATTTAATAATTTTAGATTTGCTTTAAAATCAAAATTAAAACGTGGAAGAAAGGCTGGTACGTCTTTGACCGCAACAGACGCACACTATCCTACTACGCAGGTAAGGACAGCGCACACTTGCAACCACACACAGCAAAGTCTGATTTAAAACAATTTAAAAAAAACCTGTCTGTGTAGATAGAATCACACACATGAATGTTCAAGTTTTGTATTTCTTATAATTTGCCATGTACTCTTATGTTCTCTCCAGACAAGCACGAAGTCAAGTTGAAAGGAGTCATTTACTTCCAAGCTATTGAATAAGTATACTACGATCACTTGAAGAATACACACAAGGTATGCATTCTCCAACGCTGATACAAAAAGTGCATCATAACTCTTTCTTCTTCATTCACAATTCATTCTCTCTCCCTCCCTCAGAGCCCAAACCCCTCCCTGACCTTCAGCGTGAAGACTCACGATAGGGTCTACTACATGGTTGCTCCCTCTCCCGAAGCCATGAGGATCTGGATGGATGTGATCGTCACAGGCGCTGAGGGATACACTCAGTTCATGGTGTAGTGAAGCAGATGTACGGGCCTCATGTTTTTTAATGCTGCAGTCCTTTCTGGGTTTTGAAGACAAAAGTATCAGCAGTGTTGGGCAAGTTACTTTGAAAAAGTAATTAATTATAGTTTGTAGGAGCCATAATTGAATATATTGAATTTTGATGATCACTGGGTTTTCATTTGGTTGCTATGGTGATGTGTAATGGGAGTCACGTGGGTGCTAGCGGTGACATTAAGAGGGTGTTGTCAGTCTGTCATTCACTGGTTTTGATTTTGACAGAGAGGAGGGCTGGGTAGCCGTAGTTTTTGTTGACCGCTGCACAACATGTTTCGCTTTGTTACATTAGAGCCTGTGACGTTGTAAGAGTCCAAATTGCGAGATGACCATATTACTCTGTAAACTCTCAAAGCACTTTAATAAACAAGCAAACAATTCCACCTCTCGCATTATTGCGTAAAGTTGAAAGCGCGTCAGGCAAAGAGGCAGGCTCCATCCCCGGCCTCTAGCGACTGTGGAAGTCGCTACATAGTTACTAGTTACTTCTTCAAAAAGTAACTGCGTTAGTAACTGAGTTACAAGATTCTAAAAGTAATTAATAATAAAATTTTACAGGTTTCCACCAGCAGTGTTTCAAACTGTGCGGTAGTGTAACCTGCCACAGATCACTGGGATAAAAAATCACAGACAGTAAAGACAAGAAGTCTTTAATTTTAAAGATCAGCTAAAATGTGTTATTACCTGTGTGAAACTCCTGGAATAAACATCATATGTGTCTGCACTCTCATTTGTCCTATGTTACAGTTACAGTACAGACAGGTGAAATCCACACAGCCAGCCCAGAATCAGGGATGCACCTACCTTCCTCCACCAGCTTAAACTAAGCTCAGGACATCTGTTCCAGTTCAATAGCTGACCTAAATCAGAGAATGATCAAAGCTCATGTAGAAACAAACAAACAAATGAACAAAAAATTTTCTCCTTCATTTCTGTCAAACAATGCTGTATGAAACGTTTCCAGCTGTTAGTATCATGGTTGCTAGGCAACCTGGGCAGCGCAACGGAGGCAAGACCATCCCATTTCACAAGCCTCGCACTTCCGACCTTAGCGGTCTTTAAGTACGCGGCCCCTGAGGATCGTTGAGGCTGCGTACTTTAAGGCTGCAGACCCCGAATTGGGATACAGCCTCTTTCTCACAGTTTTATTTAATAATGACGTATTGAGGTTTATTTCCGTGTCACAGACAGGACAGTGCACAGTCAAGTTTCCCATGAGTCATTGCGGGTGTAAATTACTACAAGTAAACTGTAAACGTTGTTTCATACATTATTATTTTTCATGTTAGCATATGAGAAGTGTTTTAGTCTAGCAGTAACAGCCAGAAACAGCATGAAAAAAAAAATTAACTACCGTTATATAGATTTATACGTCGAACAGGCGCTATATAACAGGTCTGCCTCAGAGGTTAAGATGGTTGGTCCGATGAAAGTGGGAACTCAACAAAACCTCTGAAACGTCTGAACTTACCCCCACATTCGGTATTGACCAACTTTTTCTAACAGTAGTAATACAACAGCTTCTCTGAACGTTATCTTTATAGCACCAATTAACCCTTAATAATTTTAGATTTGCTTTAAAAATTCAAAACTGTAAACATTTAGCGACATTAACTTGTAGAAACTTTTTTGTATGTTGCTCCATGCATAAATTGTGTGAAAGTCATACTGTATGATCTAGTTGGGGAAACCTGCCACCACTAGGGGGAGCAGTGCGGTAGAATTTAAAAAGCAGGTACTTAAGAGTTTCACCTGACACAGTTCAACAAACCTCCCCAACATTTCATCTGATGGACATTAACCAGAAATAACAGAAGACTTGTTCACCTGACTGATCACCACTACCAAGTGTATAGTAGTCTGTAGTCTGAATCTCCTGCCTACACCCCTGTATTAGGTAGGCGTGTCTTGACCTGACCAGTGTCGCAGCTTCCTTGGTTTATCGTCCTATAGCAGCAGCCAGTGCAATTTGATTGGCTCTATTGAGTGCATATTTACCCATGATTCAGTGCGTGCTCTGAAATTCGTCAGGTAAATTGGGATTTTTGTAAGACTGTTTCACACAGTGTTCTTTTTGATGTTGCGGCATGTAACTTATTTGAGTTTAATATAAAAACCCAGGGAACTCTAGTTCGTGAACACCCGTATGTAAACTGAAGTGTTTACAGAGACTTATTAATAACCGGTGATCGCCAGTGTTTTGTGGTTGGTCCGAATACAGTGACGAACACGTCGTGTCTCACTTTGAATACAGCTTGAATATCATCGTTGAAACGTGTTCAGTCACACAGCCGTTACCTCTGAAACTCTGACAATGAAATGAACTAAACTTTGAAATGAACGAAACTTTACTTGTGTATCTCTGACTCACGTTCAACGCTGTTGGTATTGACCAGCCTTTTCTTAATAATAGACTTGACTTAGCTGGTTTCAAATGATGTCTTTAGCTCTCACTAAGCCACACTTACATGCTTTTTGTTTTAGTCATTTTTAGTCATTTTAATTAAGATGGTGGGAGAGCACACCTTCTACACCCTCATTCTGAACATAGGCGTCCCACAGGGGTGTGTCCTCAGTCCCCTCTTATACTCACTTTTCACCCATGACTGTTCTCCAGTTCACACCAGTAACACCGTTATAAAATTTGGTGATGACACCACCATCATAGGACTGATTGACAACAATATTCAGCCTACAGAAAGGAGGTTCAGCATATGAAGCAATGGTGTGGCAACAACAACCTGCACCTGAACACAGCCAAGACCAAGGAGATGGTAATCGACTTCAAGAGAACAAAGCAATCGGAGCACTCCACCCTCTACATTGATGCAGAGGAAGTAGAAAGGATAGAAAGGTTTAAGTTCCTTAGGGTCCACATCATTCAAAATTATGCACTCCATACTGTACATTAATGCCACTTGTTTTGCACAATATCCAACTACCAACCTCTGTATATTTTATATATTTTATTTCATTGTTTACTCTATTTAATTTGTAAAATATATATATATACACACACACACACACACACACACACATCACACATACAGACACGTAGATATACATATTTAGGATACACATTCAGTAATATGCATACACTCTTATATTGTACATATATTTATTCATATAATTCTCAGATTTAGCCATTCTTATATTTTGCTTGTTCTTATGTTATTGTAGTTTTGCACACCTCTGTTGCTTGTGAAGCTCGCACACAAGAATTTCACTCACATGTACTGTACCAGTGTACCTGCACATGTGATGTGACAATAAAAGTGATTTGGATTTGAATTTGAACATCTCGACCGCCCTTACCTGGTCCACAAACATTTCCCACCAGGCACAACAAAGGATGCACTTCCTCAGGAAGCTGTGTCAAGTTCAAATACCCCAAAGCCTGCTGATTAACTTCTACCGTGACACCATTGAGAGCCTTTTAACCTACTGCTGTACACTATGGTTTAAGCGCTGTACTGTGGAGGACAAAAGAAAACTGCAAGCGGGTGGTGAGTGTGGCAGTTTGGGCAATTGGCACTTCACTAATTCTCCTCAGAAACATTTATACTGGCAGACTTCAGTGGAAAGCCAGTATCATCACCAAGGACCCCTCGCACCCTGGACACTCCCACCCGCCCCCCAACCTTCCTTCTGATAAATGCTACAGGTCCATGAGGTCAAAGACAAACAAACTCAATAGAAACTTCTACCCACAGGCTCTCAAACCTGCCCCACCTCCACCCTGATTGACAGTTAACTGTGCTGTTAACACTCATGGTCACTTGCACTGTACTTGTTTATAAACAGTACTCATTACAGTATAATACAACCAGCATTCCTACCTCTATTTATATAACAGTACAGTATAGTATTCCTAACCCTTTACTCAACTTGACATCGCACCTTATACTGCACTACTCCTTACACTGTGCCTATATTTTTGCCTAAAAGTTTTTAAACACTTTCAGGCAAAGTCAGTATAACTTGATAGTAATTTGCACTAAGATTTGATAGACGATTCAATGAAACGGATGACGTTCAATATACCGGCCAGTGAACAGTTACGTTTATGACATGACAGCTACAATTAAAAAAATTGTCTCGCAAATTTAACAATTTTTTTTTCTACTAAGGCAACTTTATTTTATTGTAGTCACTCAGCTTTCAGTTTACCTTCACTGACTCACTGTAAGTGACTTCAAGCTGATTTGAATTCCCAAACGTTCCGGGTTTAGGAGCAAGGAGTTCGAGTGCCGCCACGTGGCAGCCATCTGTACTGTTACACAGTCTGCCTATATGTAGTACTGTTCAAATCTAAAACAAGGCGGCTAATCTGGTGGATTATTTATTAAATTGTCCGTATATCTGCAGTTTGAGTTGATATACCCATCAAGATTGCTTTTCTGTCTTAGTAAAACCAAATGAAAAAGACCTACGAGTTATGTAGTCCACAGGAACGATATTTTAAACGGGGGGGTGAGGGTGGTAGAATTCATACAAAACCGAGACGACACTTACACTGGCTCAGACCTGCCAGTGTAAGTAATGCATGTGATCGTCACAGCCTATCAAGAGCGTCTATTCTGCATAGATTACCCTTAGTTCATTGCGAGTGAGAAATGGCTCTCAGAAATTACAAAGTTTGTGAAACTTTTTAACCCAATAGTGTCATCGATATCACGCTACCCAAATCAAATAACTGTAGATTTAAAAGTCAAAGAAGACTTGCGTTTGAACACCATCATGTAACCGGGTATGTGGCACACGACGTATTTATATTCTTTACTGGCGGAGTGTGTATGGTTGGTCCGAAGGCGGTACTACAATCAAACAAACAAACAAACAAAACTCCACTTCCCTTCCCTTCACCAAAATTGGTGGCTGTGCAGTTGTGTGCAGTCATTGGTTTCGGCCAATACCGCCAGATATTGACCAGCTTTTGTTTACGTATGTATATATATTTACATATTGGAAGTTTCCAACGATATAATGTGTGAACCCATATGGACAGACTTTAAAAGAGTGTAAAAACGTCAATCATGGTCTGTCAATC